GAGGCAGTAATTGCTGCAAAAGGGGCCCAAACCAAGTACTGAGTACATATGCATGCTTATACTTTTCAGAGGTCCGATATTGTTCTATGTACAATCCTTGTTTTATTGATTGCATGTAATATTCTAATTTTCTGAGATTGTGGATTTGGGGTTTTCATGAGCTGTAAGCCATAATCATCACAATTATGACAAATCACGGTTTGAACTATCTTGCTTTGCATGTAATGAGTCTATCTTATATATTAGGTTCACTTTTTAAGTTGCATTATTGAAATAAATGAACTTTTGCACGATATTCTAATTTTTCGAGTTTCACCTGTATATAGAAGTCTTAAGGAACATATGTGTACATTCTTCTTCTTTAGTCCTCTCTACAAAGATCTATTTAGTAAATGTTTTAGGAAATATAATTTCCCTGTGTAAAAAAAAAGTAGATGGTTGACTCTCTTCCTTTCATCTCAGCAAAGATGATTGTATGTTAGCAAGGAGAGGGGAACAATGAATGAAAGTATGTAGACTGATAGGTGGAGCTCCTAGAGGTCCAATTTGGAGTATTGGAACCAAAAGGTTACACATTCTTAATGAAAGGAATAGGTAGAAAACACCCGTGGCACAGCCCTCAACTTTTAAATTGGAAAGGTTTCATTTTCTATAATTTTTCAAAGGTGAGCTGCTTTTCAGTAATAATATAATGAGTACTACACTCTTAACATTCATAACCATAGTTCACATTCCTTTTATAAAAATGCAGGGGGAATAAGGAACTAATTTCATTTCTTTGTAATAGTATTTGCTATTGTATTTCTTTATGAAACAGTGTCTAGATATTCTAAACTAATGGCTTCAAGACAAAAGGGCGTACAAATTCTAGATTATATGCATACCATACAAATTATTATATTCCAAATGTGCTTATTATCCTTAACTCTTCAGAAGTGACATTAAATATGTAAGTAGCAAATTGCCTAATATTGCAGCTATTTCCAAAGAAAGTTTGGGATCTAAACTGCCATGTTACACAGATCAAATTAGGCTGTTTGCAGCACCTATGAATATAGATCAGTGGTGGCGAACCTACAGTATGGCACGCGTGCCAGAGGTGGCACTCAGAGCCCTCTCTGTGGGCATGCGAGCTGTCATCCCAGCCCCCCTCCCCCACGGCCCCTCACCAGCAGTCCCCCGGAGACTTGCTCCCGGGTGCGGCCTGCGCTGAGCAGTGCAGCCAAGGACATGGAAGCCAGGCAGCAGGGACAACACTCCGACCTCGTGCCCATCGCCCGCAGATGATGCTGTGGAGCACAGGCAGAGGGCGTGGCTGCCATGGTGCTGCTGGGCTGCCTGGGAGATCAGTGGCAGGTCCTGGAAGCGGGGGGGTGGCCCAGCGAGTGGGCGGGGCGGGGGGCAGGAGGCAGGGCAGGGGCGGTTTTTGGGCACTCAGTCTCTAAAAGGTTTGCCATCACTGGTATAGATTAACCATGTGACATAGCAATAAGGCTTATATACCACTTCACAGTGCTTTACAGCCCTCTCTAAGCAGTTTACAGAGTCAGCATATTTCCCCCAACAATCTGGGTCCTCATTTTACTGACCTTGGAAGGCTGAGTCAACCTTGAGCCAGTCAGAATCGAACTGCTGGCAGTCAACAGAATTAGTCTG